CTTTGCCAGTCTGTACTTTTATGAATGAATGCCCCAATACCACCCCCCTTTCTGCTGCCTTCTGTTCTGTTACAATATTCCCACGCGTAGTCCGGATTGTTCGGAGGTTGTTCCATGTCCCTGAGATGTGTTTCTACAAAACCGTATACCATCGGCCTCTCTTCCCTTGGCTGTTCTTCTATCTCTTCCCACTTCAGCCTGTTCCTACCACCCTGCATGTTAATATACCCTGTGTCTGAATTGGCTCGGCGCTCGTGGCTACGTCTATTTATGCCCCGGACTCTACCTATCTTAGATATTGGTGCCACTTTGGAATCGTATCTGTGCAAACTACCTGTCGAAGAGTCTCCCTGGTTGTTTTCCCCGTTACTAGCTATCCTACATCCCGAAGGGCTCGCTTGCCCCCCAAAAAAGCTACTGCGCGTCCTGCAAGTCGCCAACCCACCTGATGACCTAGCCGCCCATCGAAGTGAATTCTGTCTCGTTGAAAACCCCCCCACCTATGCACCTCTCTGTTTATTTCCACCACCTCAAAGCATAATAATGTTGGTCGCGAGCCCCACCGCGCGGAGCTTCTTTGAAACTGAAGGCAGGCCAACTCCGCTGGGAGCGCGAGCCATTCATTAGGCATCTTTCTAGAAGAGGCGTAGATAGAGGTGTGCGCCCAGGCTACAGTGTTCTAGAACACTTTACCCCTTTCTAGAACACTTTACCGAGGCGATTTCGACCGGTGCAGGCGGGGGGTCGTTCAGAGTCGGCGGCAGCGGCGTCGTCGGCGCACGCCGGTTTTTTCATCGGCGGCGGCGTCGCCGGCGGCGCGGAAACCAAAACTAAAAATTCAAAAGGTTCTTCTGCCACAGGTTACTGAATTAGTTGAAATTCAGGGATTTTCATCAAAATAGCACTAATGACTCTACACAGATGTATTGACATCACGATGAATGCAAAGCGTTTTGTAAAATAGTTTTTTATTTCGCTTTCATAATAAAACACGCGTATTTCAATATATGTCCATGTTCTACCACGAATGTGCAGCACTTTGTTCGTTTTTTTATTTAAGATACAGCTGTTTGTTTCTGTTGTTGGCTACGTCATACTTCATGAAACCTTCTCTCATTGAACATTGAGCAAGCACCGACGCACGTCACTCAGTTCGTTTTTTGCGAATCAGATCTCACTTTTACTCTGTACGCTGCACACACACACACACACAAAAAAGAAGCACCTCTGCTACGAGTTTTCTTATTGCGATTGCAGCAAACCTCTCTTTTGAGTATCTGTCATGCCTTGAATGTTACTTTCCTTCAAACGAATCGAAATACCTACTTTTCACAATATGAGAATGTTTTATGTAGCGGTATAAGATGCGGAAGAAAACAAATCTGCGCATTTAGTCAACTAGTCCTCACCGCAGCGTTCAATGAATGAAGTGTAGACATGGGCGTGGGCGAGGCGGGTGGTGCAAAAGGGGCACTTGACCCCTTCAAGCCGCGCCAGCACTTGCTACCGACTCTAGCGACAGCGACACGATCCCTCCCTCAGCCATAATGCAAGTTGAAAGAAGGGTATCCTTACCCCCAAGACAATAACCTGTCGATGGCCAAGCGTGAAGATGAGAGCAAATGCAATATTTTCTCAGATGCACAGTTCATACTGGTCATGACCCGGACGCCCGTTGACCACGCCTGCAGAGAACGTTGACTCCCCGACGTCTTTGTGCTCGGTCAGGGGAGGGAGACACCCCTTGCAAGTGGGCCCCATTAAAATGTCTCTTAAAAACCTTACAAATAAGAATGCTTGATAAGTATGTATAAAATATTCAACTTTGCAATGCTTTTTTTTTGTAGCGTGTACACGTGCTCGATACCCATCAGATGTGTGAGACAATCGAAATAGCAACTGCCACTCTCGACTTGTTCCGGAAAAGACTCAATAGAAGAATGCAATTACGAGTGCTGGGAACCTATGTTCGTTTGTATATTTGATTTCTAGGCATGATATAAATTCTTATATAAACAAAAATAAAATCTGCAACATATTAAAAAAAAGGCTGCTATTGCGAGATGTGTGTTGCAAGACGTGCTTTTTCTAGACTTACATCTCTGCAAGGCACATCTGGTGTCACAAACTTGCAAGTGTCCTCCCTTTTCCCCACGACATTTCCCGATTACCCCCCCCCCCCCTCTCTAATAAAAATGCACCAATTTAGGCCTCCGTGATTGCCTACTGGTGCGTGGTGGGCCATTCCGGTGGCTAGGACCAACAGTGCCGATTTCGACTTGCTTTATTGAAGGTGCTGAAGGATCAACAAAAGGCCGATATTTGTAAATTTCTTGAGAGTTCAGTGATAGCTTCTTTCTGAATACCGTGGATTATAGAACCTCACTTTGAGTGTAATCCTCCAATGAAAAAAAATGGCTTCATCCTGTGTCACTGCAGAGTCAGAAGCCGTCATATGTGCAGGCATCATTAAGCTTCTATATAACATATCTAAGATTCAGTACATTTGTACAACTAATTCTCGTTAATTGAACATTTTGAGTATAATGCTTGCTTGGGTTAGTAGGTGTGAAACAAATTTTAGTTTTAGAAATTCTCCTTGTTGGTTTCTGCAGCAAAGACACATTGATTAAAACTGATGACTTCGGAGCTACGGCAGAGGTAACATTCGTTATGTTTTTTTCGGTTATGGTATCGGTAATGCGTTACCTTTTTATGTATTTATATAACGTAAAACCGTGAAACCCTCCCCTTTTTCTTATTAGAGTGAGGTATTTAGTTTCTTATTCTTATTAGTGAGGTATTAAGTGAGGTATTTAGTTTCTTTTTACTGTAACGGATACATCAATAAATAGACTTACAGGAGTGATGTCGGCCCACACCGTCAGTTGTTGTTGCGGTCTATAGGCTGGCTGTAAACATTACATGGATATATTATTTTCACCCAGCACGTGATAGGGAAGGGTTGCTTGACCATTGAGGATCTCGACCTCTGAGAAATACACAACAGCTTCTTAATGATATGCATATCATCCCACTGAAGCGTGCACTTTGTTTCGTTTAAGTTTACAGTCAACGTGAGTGCTGTCGTCACGCCGTATGTTTTAGGTAGAAATTTAGCCTACTCAAAATATTCAAAGACGTCAATTCACCTTGCAACGCGTGGCCACCCTCTGACGGTTCTGTATGAAAACGGCATCCACAGTGAAACATGTTGCATCTTCTGAAATTTTATCGCACATTATTATACTGCCACGCTCGCTTGTATTTTTATGTCATTGTCTTGCGCAAAGGCACTGCCGTAGTGGTTCAGTAGCTAAGGTACTCGCCTGCTGACCCGCAGGTCGCGGGATCAAGTCCCACCTGCGGCTGCTTTGTTTTCGATAGAGGCGAAAATGCTGTAGGTCCATGTGCTTCGATTTGGGTGCATGTAAAAACTCCAGGTTGTCAAAATTTCTGGAGTCATTCATTATACGGCATCTCTCATAATCATGTTGTGGTTTTGAAACGTTAAACACCACATATTAATAAATTGCCTTGCGCAAAGGACGCTTGGCTGTCTGTGAAAACTCTAGATTAATTTAGAATCTTCTGATAAGCTTGAGACACCTACGATATGGATGCTACGTGTATAAATGGCGACGTACCTTCGCGCAGATCATATTACCAACGACCAATGCTCTGATTACCGCTATCTGTGTAAAGCACGAATTTCTAGTACTTTGCACTTTCCTATGCCCATGTTCACTCAATAAAAAGTGTCGTCTTGAGCAACCCACGTACCATCTTCTTTACGTTGCAACCACGTGGCCATACCGTAAGTGCAATGAGAACGCTGAAATGATCGATACAAAACAGTGAGATTGGGCTTAAGTGCACGGCCAAGTTTGATTTGAGATGCGTATACCACAAGCTATTTTCTTCTATGGAACCAATATGATGCGGATTTGTTAATTTACTGTGAAGTTGAATGTCAAGAAAGAAAGAACACGAACTTAGAAAGAAACAGTGGATACGAAAAGTGATAGGTATTGACGTAAAGTTTGATCGGTCATTCCACGCCAAACGTCCAAGGCATTTTGGTGACCGTCTCAGGTGTATTCGAAAAATGTCGGGCTGATTTACTCTATTGAAAGCAGTCTATTACGAAAATGTTTTGCAGAGAAAAATGTTTTGGTCACCTATATGTGACCCAAATTCCGGCAATAGGCTGGGCCCTATATTGAGTCCTAAGATAAAAGAACATTTACTGAGTGAGTCTATATGGGCTCCATTTATTTGGCCAACCTATGGTTCCTAATATTTAAAACCTCCCACGATGGCGTGCCTTGTTGTCGTATTGACGTTCCGGCTTGTAAAGCCGAAAATTTTATTTTTCAAATAATAAGACTGTTCAGTCTTATAAATTATAAGACTCCCCCCTTCCCGGAACTCGTTCTAGGGTAGGTCCTTTGATAAAAACCAGTCTTATATCTTAAAAAAATGCTTAGATATCAACTATTCATAACTCTCATTAAAGATGTGGAAATGAAATGGCCATCACTAAATGACCGATGAGATGAAATATTAACAATAAAAAGCATAGTAAACGTGACTAAAAAGCTAATTCTACAAAAACAATGTAACCTGAACTAATGATGTCACCACACATCTAAAACCTCATGCAATGTATATTGCATGCCTGCAAGGTGCAGTTATTCGAGCGCTTTTTGCAGTGAAATTTGGTCACGGATATAATCCCGTTCACGGTGGTGCTATTTTTATATTTAACGGTTGAATATCTAACGAAGCATTAGGAAATTCTGTGCGTGAAACCCGTTTTTTGTGTGACGTAATTGAGGATTATACATTGTGCTGGCACGAAGTTTAATGCAGGTGATGTGTTTGTAGAATACACCGTTAAGTGACTGTTGTAAAATAGAAACAACAATTTATGTTAATTCATGCGACAAAACGCACGTGACCTGCTCCCAGAGAACAGAAGAATGCATAACGAAGGGCGTTACTAACGAACGGAAAAATTAAATAATTATTGGTCTTTAATGTTGTTTCTGTAGTCCAATCTACAAAGTTTTCAACTAGCAATAGTCGCCCCTCAGTTACTTCATTGGGTACGACACCGCCTCGGCGCAAAGCTACAAACGTTCGTATTAAACGAGCATGACGGTACGAAGGCATAGAATTGCGTTCTGCAGCATGTTGTGACGCATGTGCCACTTCTGGTCACCTTTATTACGTGACATTGGAATCCACACTGAGCTTGATCTATGATTATGTACCTAATCAACGGAGAATAAGTGCTAAGCTCCCGATTAATTATTAATGTGGCTTCAAAGACGAGAAAGCAGCACGATTCACGAGCAATCGAGCACCCGTTCTGTTTTTCTATTGCGTTGAACTGCTTGTGCCCTCAGATGCCACTTTAGTTTTTTCTTGAATGATTGTGGTGATTAGGAAAGTTTTGAGCGTTAAACAAGACGTTAAGAAGAACGAGAGAGACAGGACGGTTGCTTGTGAACGTCTTGTGGAACCATTAGTTTGCGCTCAAAATTTTCCGATAGCAATGCGCCATCTGGCTGGATTTCAAGTTTTGTTAAAATGTGGCGATGGCACAGACCATGGGCTTTTGTCATGTCATTTACTACCATTTAAACAGCGGCGGCGTAATTTAGGGTACCATGAAAATTGTCGTGGTCATATTTCAAGAAGGAAGGAGGCAGAAACGCACCGTTCATGCCATACGTGATCCTTCATCACACGCGGAAATAAATTTATTCAAGCTTGTCACAGAACGAGCGCTAAAAATGGGCGCGCCGCCAAATTGTCGCGACGAAACGCCCGAGTGGCGCCGCGAGGTCAAAAGAAAAAGAAAACAAACATCTAAAGGCTCCCCTGGGCGCGCGCTCTCCCCTCGGAAGCGTGGCTTCGCCGACGAACCTCCTCGCCCCACATCGGCGGCCGAGATAGCCCGCGAAAGTTCCAGCACGAAAGGGGCGTGGTCATACCGAGTTGAGTCATCGGCCGCGGAGGGCGTGCCAACCGTCTTGCCTTCTTCCCAGCCTTCGCTGCGTATCGCGCCGACGAAACGACGAGAACCGTCTGCAATGTCGCGCGCAAGGTATTTAAACGAGCAGCGAGAGACGACGACGAAGTGTCTCTTCATAGAACGCTTCTGCTTTCGGCTCCGAGCATTGTTATCAAGTTTTTCGCTTTCTACGGGAGACGCTGCTCCCTGCCCCAAGGCGACGGACGCGGAGTCATCCACTGGTCCGCCCAGCCAGAGGTCTGCTATGGCGAGCTCCTGGCTGCATCCGAATGTAATGGACAGTGAAATTTTTGCCAACCCAAATAAGTATAGCCTTTATAGACATGACCGCAAAGCTAAAAAAGGCGGTGGTGTTCTTATAGCTATCAAAAAAGGATTAGCGCCGTTTCTGGTGAATACCGACTCCTGCCTTGAAATAGTGTGGGCCGCCTGTACTACATCAACGGCAAAGGTACTGGTTGGCGTCTGCTACCGTCCGCCGGATTCCAATAGTTCCTTCATTGAAGAACTTCGAAGTTCCATTACTTCGGCTATCGGTAAATACCCAGCCGACATTACTTACCTGGTTGGTGACTTTAACTTTCCGCAAATAGATTGGTCTCAATTGTCATCTTCTTGCCAAAATGCAACAGAGCTCATAAACCTCACCTTAGACTTCAATTTTTTCCAAGCAATTAATCAGCCAACTCGCGGTACTAATATTCTAGATCTCGTTTTCTGCAATGCTCCTGAGTCAATTGGTGATGTCTTATACCTTGACGGTTTTAGTGATCACAGGCTTATCCAATTACAACTTACCATTCCTCTTGCATTTCAAGGTAGCACGATCACTCAAATCCGCGATTACAATCGAGCTAATTATAAGGATATGAATATTGCACTTAACAAATTTTTCGTTCGGACATTTTTACCTTCGTTTTTTGATAGGACCGTTGAGCAGAACTGGGTGCTTTTTAAGAACGTGCTAACAAATTTAGTGCACCGATACGTTCCCGTGGTGTCCATTTCCAATGATAAAACTAATCCCTGGTTTAACAAACATCTGAATCGTCATCGTAATAAAAAGAAGCGTCTTTACAGAAAAGCTAAGCTTGCACCTACATCATCGGCTTGGAAAAATATCGCGAATGCTTAAAAAGCTACTGTTGCGCCGTTCGAACTTCAAAAAAGAAATATTTTTCCCAGGATCTTCCTTCTCTCTTGAAATCTAATCCTAAAAAGTTTTGGCGTGTTGTGTCTCCTAATAGCATTAGTAATCACATTTCACTGTGTGATGATAAACAGCAGCCACTTGATGATAGCGAATGCCCGCATGTCTTTAACAGATATTTTGCTTCTGTATTTACGAGGGAAGATCATTCCAACATACCCATTGTTCCTGACCATGATTATCAGTACATGAGTGCGATTGATGTCTCCGCTGAAGGTATCGCTAATCTCATAGGAAATCTCAAGATCTCAACCAGTGCTGGAGTTGACAACATTAACTCTAAAATATTAAAAAACACAGTCCTAATATCAAGTAAAATTCTTTGCTATATTTTTCAGCAATCATTATCATCAGGCTTATTACCCACGGACTGGAAGATCGCCAAGGTCATCCCAATTTTGAAAAGCGGTAATAAAAATTCCCCGCATAACTACCGACCCATATCACTAACATGCATTTGCTGTAAGTTACTTGAACACATTATCGCCTCCCATATTTACGCTCATCTTGAACATAATTCCTTCTTTTTTCCTCAGCAACATGGTTTCAGAAAAGGACTGTCATGTGACACGCAGCTGCTAGAATTCACAACTGACTTGCACTCTAACATGGACGCTAATCTTCAAACGGATTGTATTTTTTTAGATTTTGCTAAAGCATTTGACTGTGTGGCACACTCGCGTTTATTCTCAAAACTATCAGCTCTCTGTCTGGATTCTTTAACATTATCATGGCTTCGTAACTTCCTTTCTTTCCGTCAGCAGTTTACTTCAGCTAACAGTTTTACCTCATCTCTCTGTGACGTAACATCAGGTGTGCCCCAGGGCAGTGTCCTTGGTCCTTTACTGTTCCTAATATACATTAACGATTTACCCACAGGCATATCTTCTAACCTGCGTCTTTTCGCTGACGACTGCATCATTTACCGCTCAATTAAATCCATCGAAGATCACCTCGTACTTCAAAATGATCTCATATTAATTGCAAAGTGGTGTGACAAATGGCAGATGAATCTTAACTCTACTAAATGCAAGGTTATCACTTTCAGCCGCAAGCGCATCAATTCCGATTTTTCATACCTCATAGATAGCACATTAGTAGCCCAGGCATCATCGTATAAATATTTAGGCGTCCATCTCAAGCACAATCTTTCATGGGACATGCATATTAACACCATTACTGCCAAGGCATCCAGGTCACTTGGATACCTGCGCCGGAACTTGTGGAACTCGCCAAGCAGTCTAAGACAACTCACCTATGAAACCATCGTTCGTCCGCAATTAGAATATGCTTCACCAGTGTGGTCTCCTCATCAAATCTACCTGACTAACAAGCTTGAGTCTGTACAAAACAGAGCCGCTCGTTTCATTACTTCCAACTACAGCCCACATTCCAGCATAACGCAGATCAAACATGACATACCGCTTGTGCCATTAAATGTACGACGTTCCATTTCTCTTTTATCTTTATTCCATAAATATCGCTATAGCATCAGGCCATCTCCCTTACCACTGGAAGCGCCTTCACGCATATCACGCCGCTTGCATAATCAATATAGCATTAAACGCATCAGTGGACGAACTAACACTTTCAATTCATCAGCACTTCCCCGAGCCATTGTTCTATGGAATGATCTTCCCGACAATATTGCATCTATCAGTAACCATCAAGCATTTCTTGACCAATTGCGTAAGCATTTCTTGAAATAGTATCATGTCGTCACCTTTTTTTTTGTCTTTTGTTAATTGCTGTTTTTTGCCATGTGTAAAAATGTGTAACTACACTGTACCCTTTTTTCTTTTTTTTCAATTAATTGCTGTTTTTTGCCATGTGTAAAAATGTGTAACTACACTGTACCCTTTTTTTCTTTTTTTTCAATTTTGTTTCCCTGTATTTAATAATGCATTTATCTCTGATATTTTTTGTTTCGTACTTGCTCCCCTTACTCAATGCCCTATCGGGCCCTGTAAGGTATCATGAATAAATAAATAAATAAATAAATAAATAAATCAGCGCGCCTGGCCCAGAACCAGTGAGGCCAACGGTGATAGTCACTGCATCATGGCTGTGGACGTGGAGCCTTCTGCGGCTATGTCCGACCATAGACCACCTTTGGCAAGCTCGTCGCGGAAACGAAGCACCTGTTCAAGCACCAGCGAGGACACGGAACTGTACTCGGCCACTGGCGACGACTCGTCGGATGACGACTTCGAGACCGTGAGAAGCAGGAAGGCCAAAAGAAGAAGTATCAAGTCGTCTTCACCAGCAGGGACATTAACGTCTCAGTCAAAAGGAGAATGCTGGCCGCACACCATCCTCTTCATGCCCGAGGACTCCACCATCAGCCTTCGAGCAGTAAACAGGCAAGCTCTCTCTATGTACTTTGAGGGGGTAGCACCAAACGACATTAAGGATATCCGGGTGAACACGCGGAAGAATATTCTAGCTGTGGACACAATGACTGCCAGCGCCATAGACAAGCTTCGCAGAGTATCAGATTTGGGAGGCATCAAAGTACGACCGGTTATTCCAATGGACGGTGCCTGCACGGCGGGAGTAATCTACGACATTGATTTGGCCATAGCAAACTCGGACCTCCCAACTCTCATAAAACCAGCGAACGAAGGAGTTCTCATCGCGAATGTACTTCGCCTCGGAAACACCCGATGTGTAAAGATAATGTTCAAAGGAGATTCCATTCCGTCGCATGTCAAAGTGGGACACTTCCGACATCCTGTTCGACCATTTGTCCCTAAACCACTCCAGTGCCATAACTGCATGAAAATTGGTCACATCAAGAGTGTATGTACAAACACCACAGTATGCCCCCGATGCGCTGAGCCGCACACTGCAGACGCATGTCGGGCAACAAGTCTGAAGT